ACCTGGCACCTCATGCTTCTTGGAGTGGCGGGGTTCCTTTGGAGTGGGGCCGGCTGTTGGCCCTGCCCTGGGACTGTAGAATAGCCGACTAGTCGAGTAACCTCATGAATTCATATTGTTATTCAATTAACCAATATTCAAGTAGGCCCACTGAAGTCAGGAGTACTCGGATGCTTAAAAACCAATATTCAAGTAGGCCCACTGAAGTCATTAGGAGTACTCAGATGCTTAAAAATTGTGCATGCATATTTGAAGAACCAGAGCATTACCTTTTCTTTAAAAAGAAAACACATTTAAAATGCAACTCACATTTTGTTCACTTACAGTGCTTTGAAACCAGTATCTCTTTTTGCATGTCTAGGTTCCTGCCTTTCAAATAAGGTTACATAGGCCTAATGCAGCATGGGAAAAATTAGGTAGGGAGAAAGATCTCATTTCACTTAACTTCTGCTTTACTAGAGGAAGGACTGGCCTTTTGATGTGACTAACTGTATAAAGTTTGAAAATCTCAAATTCCAGCACCCCTCAGATGGCTGAAGTATTCATGCAACAGCTGACCTCTCTTGCTTTTGGATCAGCTTGCTGTCTCTCTTAGGTATTTGTTGGTTTGGGTTCTAAACAGCACATCTGATCAAACTGTAGCTACCGATCTACCTCCGTTTTGTCAAAGCTAAGTTGTTCAAGACAATGATTGCCTTTTATACCTGCAAAGAGAAGTCTTTTTTTTTTTTTTCCTTGCTACCTCACTTTTTAAACTGATCAATCATTTGGTCAAAAATAAACAGTAACATGCAAGACAAAGTTTAAAAAAATTTATTAAAGCTTTAAAAGTTGTCATTACTACTTAGCAGTGAGTACACAGTGCTCATCTGGCAAGCCTCTTGCTTTTCTCCTATTTTGCAAGCAAGGGGCTACTTGTAAGAGAGTGCCTTCTTATGTGTAGTTTTGCATAGAGTATTGCATTAGAACTGCAGGTTTTAACTGCAGCAAGATATATGGATTCTAACGATAAATGAGGCTTAAGTTTAGTGCTATCATATCACAAGTACTATCATTCTGAATTTTGTTCTAAAGTGCAAAAGACCCAAGTTCAGTTTCTATTTAAAAGATACAAATAAAATGCTAATTAGCTATTGCACTGTAAAATTAACCCATTTAGTGATTTGCTTTTTGTTTTGCTACCCTTTTACAAGACCTGTGTCATACACATCAATAAAACAACCTTTGTCATCAACCTTTGAACCATCTACTTCAAGACAGACCCAAGAAAACCAACAATAGAACACCACTTGTCATCACCTACAACCCCCAACTTAAACCTGTCCAACACATTATCAAGAAACTACAGCCTATATTGGAACAGGATACCATACTCAAAGAGGCTCTGGGAGACAGACCCATAGTCTCCTATAGACAACCACCTAACCTCAAGATGATTCTTACCAACCACCACAGGACATACCACACTAATACCAACCCTGGTACCTTCCCTTGCAACAAACCCCGTTGCCAGCTTTGTCCACATATAAAATTAGGTAGGGAGAAAGATCTCATTTCACTTAACTTCTGCTTTACTAGAGGAAGGACTGGCCTTTTGATGTGACTAACTGTATAAAGTTTGAAAATCTCAAATTCCAGCACCCCTCAGATGGCTGAAGTATTCATGCAACAGCTGACCTCTCTTGCTTTTGGATCAGCTTGCTGTCTCTCTTAGGTATTTGTTGGTTTGGGTTCTAAACAGCACATCTGATCAAACTGTAGCTACCGATCTACCTCCGTTTTGTCAAAGCTAAGTTGTTCAAGACAATGATTGCCTTTTATACCTGCAAAGAGAAGTCTTTTTTTTTTTTTTCCTTGCTACCTCACTTTTTAAACTGATCAATCATTTGGTCAAAAATAAACAGTAACATGCAAGACAAAGTTTAAAAAAATTTATTAAAGCTTTAAAAGTTGTCATTACTACTTAGCAGTGAGTACACAGTGCTCATCTGGCAAGCCTCTTGCTTTTCTCCTATTTTGCAAGCAAGGGGCTACTTGTAAGAGAGTGCCTTCTTATGTGTAGTTTTGCATAGAGTATTGCATTAGAACTGCAGGTTTTAACTGCAGCAAGATATATGGATTCTAACGATAAATGAGGCTTAAGTTTAGTGCTATCATATCACAAGTACTATCATTCTGAATTTTGTTCTAAAGTGCAAAAGACCCAAGTTCAGTTTCTATTTAAAAGATACAAATAAAATGCTAATTAGCTATTGCACTGTAAAATTAACCCATTTAGTGATTTGCTTTTTGTTTTGCTACCCTTTTACAAGACCTGTGTCATACACATCAATAAAACAACCTTTGTCACACATTCAGTGGTTGTTAGTATCAAAGTGTTACATCTTAGTTCTACACCCAAGTCGTACCATGCAACCCTACGGTAGAGACTATTATATTGGTTTATATAAGAAAAAGTTCAGGCTCTTAACTTTCAGTACATAAAAGAAAAATCAGATAATCTATAATCCAGTGCTTTAAAACTCAAGTTTAATAAGTCATGTGAAAAAATTTTATAGCAGACATTTTAATAGGCCCCAAATCCCTTCCTTTGATCTTCAGTCACCTGTGTAAAGGAGCTGCAGAATCTCTCCAGGGTTAGAGTAGTGCTTATCCCTACTTGTGCACTTTGGTGTGAACAGTAATTCAAGGCAGTTCACAGAGGCCTGCTATTTAATAGTAAAAGCTACAGAATCAACTAGCTTCCTAAACCTGCTCCAAGTCAAGTCATATGGATGTTCACAGCTGTTTACTGAGTTACTATCCATTTTCTTTCAAAGGAGACAACAGTTCTAAAAATTGTAGTAAATCGCTTCCAGATTAGAGATTTCAGATTTAAAAATAATCGTGGTATTCATTTTAACTAACTGGAAGGATGACATCATTTAAAAACTGATAATTTTTATTTCTAAAAAAAAGATGATGCAAGTGCAAGTTTCTTCCACATATCTTCCCCTTGCCACTATGTTTAACATCCTTCCCTCAGGCACATAGGGGGAGAAAAGCAGAAAAACATATGCTATGTGCTGACCCTAGACCCTAATGCTGCAGGCCATGGATGTGCTTAATTTCACAAATATGAGTCATTCCCCTAGTCAGTTGCAGAGCATTCAGTAGGCATAAAACTTGCATGGTCAGGCTTGTAAAATCCTTAATCTGCCTCTGCTGGTAAAGGGAGTGTTGAAGCATATTTTAAAATGAGGCGGCAATCCTGTATGCAGACGTAACTCCCAACGATGTCTTCCTTCGAAGCACCACCAGTGAAGCACTGGGGGTGGTTAGTCTGTTCAGAAGCCCATGCTCTGTCCCTAGTAATTTTTTCTTTTGCAAATCCTTCAGTAACGTTTTGATTTGGGGTTATTAAAAACCAGGATTATTTGTTATGCTGCTTTTGACTTAAGACGTTGCTGAATATTAAGCAAAAGGACAATTCCCCTTCAACCCCCTCATTGCAATCACCCGCCTTTGAGTTTCAGGACAAGACTTGCTGTACTTGAGTGACAAGTTTTCCCTTTTATGCTATTATTCGAATACGAGACAGTCAAGCTTCCAGAGGCCTTTATCACCACCTCTCAAAGATACACTTCTTTAGATACGTTACTTAATATACATGCAACCATCGGCTCTCACTACAAGGTGGCCCATTCGCTATCCATTTTTATTTTCTTCAGACAACTGTCTTCAGTTTTTAAGGAGAGTTCAGCACATAAATCATCACCTTCAAGTTTCTCAGTTACAGTTTGTAAGAGTCACTGCTGACAAACAGGCATGGCTTAGTGCAACATGGAAGTGATTTTTTTCTAATGTTACATTGGTTCACAGAATAGCTCTGTTCCATTCAAAGAGGTGCCCCCTCTCCCCGATTATTAGAAGAATTAGAAATTTTAGATGTCCTCAAAATAGCTTGGTTTGGGGAGCTGGGGAACAGCTTCTAAAAACAAATGGGTCTAAGAGCTGTTCCATTTAGAACCCTCAAGTTTGTCTTTTCAGCTGTCCCTGTTTTCCAGAAACTCGCCATTTCCCTCCAGGTACAAAAATGAACCTGGCTTTTACCCCTTTCAAGAGCCAGGCCTCAGAGAATGAGACCAGATCTATACTACACCTGGAAGGTCGGTTTAAGATACGCAGCTCCAGCTACATAAAATTTGTAGCTGGAGTCAATTTACCTTAAGCCGAGCTTGGCACTGTCTTCACAGAGGGAGGCAAATGCTTCTGTCAGCTTCCCTTACTCCTCATGACTGCAGAGGAGTACAGGTGCTGACCGGAGCTGCCCTCTGTGTTCAATTCACGGGTCTTAACAAGACCTGCTAAATCAAACGCCGGAAGATCGATCTCCGACATGGCAAGTGAAGACAAGTGCCTTCAGATAAGTCTCAGACAGATGTAAGGAGCGAGGGGAACTGCTGAGGGTGGTTCAAACAGTTACAGCTGCAACTAATGGGATCAAGAGGAGTAAAGTTTAACGAGGCCCATGTGCTAAAGGAAGCCTCAGTGGCCAAGTCATTTAACGCTAGGCAGGACCGAGCCCTACACAGTGAGCTGTGGGGACCAATTCTTGCCCAGCTGGGCACCAGACTGGCCTAGCAGCACTCCCCCACTACGAGGACCAGGATACTGCCTCACTACCACCTTTGCTGCATGTATATATTGGCACACAGTCAACCCTGACAAACCCAGCTGCGTTTCACTTCTTTTCGACGAAAGGGCCGAAGAGTCCCCACTCGAACGCCAGCATGGCCTGCGGGTTCAGCCTCTCCTTCGGCTTCTTGAAGTTATCTTTTGCGGTGCGGAGAGCCCTCAGCACGTCCACCGGCGCCGTCTTGCCCGTGAACTTCTGCACGGACTCTTCCCTGCAAGTCAAAGCGACACCCACTGGGGAGAGCGGCAAAGGGAACTGAGAGGCAAGGCCGGGTTCTGTTTCTGCCACTCGGGGGGCTCTTGTTTTCAGAGACTCCCTTTGGCTTCCCATTGGAGGAACAGAGCAGAAATGGGCTGTAGTCTCTCTCCTCCCACCAACCTCACTGGTGGGGAGCAGGCCAGTGGAGATGAGGAGAGAGCTGCCCTCTGTCCCTCCTAACAGGGGAGGGTATCTTCTTCCTTAGAGGGGCTGGCCAGGAGTGAGTGATCCTGGATGGAGAGCTAGGAGCAAAAGAGATTCCCCTCCCTGCCCTAGGCCGCACCGAATGCTTCTCATAGTCCTATTGGATTCCGGGAGGTCTAAAGAACCTTCTCCCAGCCTATGGGAAGGGTCCACAAAGCCCAGAATGCCAAGTGCTCACTGGGGACAAAAAGAAAACAGGGATGGGGTGGAAGTCCTAGGGTCAAGACGAGCCGGGTGAGGACACGGAGCAGAGAACCCTGGACAGCGCCCACTGCCCCAAAAGGTATCGAGAAAGTCAGCGGACACCGCCCAGTGGAACTCTGCCTGGATGCGTGAACGGATACAGGAGCGGAAATAGGCCCCAAAGCCACAGGCCCCTCCCTCAGCCAACCTCTGCCCGCAACGTCCTGGGCCTGCCTCCTCGACTTTGCGGGGCCCCGGATGGAGTGGGCATGAATGAATAGGTACGGGGAGACGTGTAGCCAGAACCTCAACAAGAGGTTGTGGAGGAGCCGAAGGAGGGGCTGGAACCTGGCGCGCTCGAGGTAAACGTGCGCCGGGGTCTCGTGGTGGCGGGGAGGCAAGATTTCCCTTCCCCGAGAGCCCCCAAGTGAAAGGCAGAAAAGCAGCAGCATCCCCAGACCTCCCTTGCTTTGAGCACTCGGCCAGCTCTATCTCCCAGTGTGGGGCAGGGGCGTCTCCATGCCCACAGCTGGCGTGGAGCCCGCTGTCTCCTCCCGCGCCAGTGGGCCTGGACACTACTCACGAGACCCGCAGGAAGGGGTTGTAGTGGAACTCCTCCTGCAGGGTGGAGGGCACGGTGGGCAAGTCCTCGTCGTCTCGGAGCTGGGGAGGAATCAGACTCGCTCAGCAAAAGGAGCATCACAGGGGGCAGAGGCCGTTCTGGGGCCAGGCACCTTGGACCCCTGTTGACGGACTAAGAGGGCGATGAATCTAGTGCCCACCCAGCTCAGTGTGTGCTCCAGCACCGCCCCCTCCCCCCGCTCCGGAAGAGGAGAACACCTACTTTGGCCCAGGCGAGTTTCTTTTTCACAGTTTCGTTCTCCGGCTCCACTTTCAAAGCAAACTTGAGGTTGCGCACGGTGTACTCGTGCCCACAGAACACTTTCTGCAACAGAAACCAGACAGCCCCTGTACAGCTTCCTCCATGCCCTGGGCTTGGGACCTCCCTGCCCAGGAGAGCCCCACAAGCGGTGGTATCCCGGGGCCAGCAATCCGCAGAGGTGGATGTGGAACATCCTCAGCCAGAGCCACGGGCTGCTGGGCTACCGAGCTCCGCTTCTTGGCCACGCAGCTGCTTGACGTTGGGGCGAGAACCTAGAGGGGTTGGGGTGGCAAGGGGAGGAGGCAGCGACTGCAGGGAGGAGGGGCGGCCGGAGGACAGCTCTGGGCCTGATCCCCCGTGTGCCGAGTGTCTAGAAATTATCTGGGGGAATCTGTTCTTCCTGAAAAAAAATGGCAGAACGGCTCTTGCGCAAGAGGGGGGTTTTGCCCAAAATGGAGCCATGTAGATGGCCCCTTTTTCGGCACAACAGCCCCTTGCACAAAAACGGTGGCTCATTAAGTATGCAAATGAGGCACAGTGATATTCGCGGCTTTGCCTCGTTTGCATAGAGGGGGCAGTTTAGCCGTAGCCCAAGAGGCTGGTCCCAGGCGCAGAGAGTCCGGGCAGGTCAAGCAGCTCAGGCCGATGAGGAAGTGCAGACGCCAATCCCCCTGGACATAAAGCACCGGCCGGCCTGCTCCGAGACGCAAAGAAGGCAATGGAGGGAAACGGGGGGGCAGGGCCCGGGCACCCCCGGCACTCACGGTCTCCTTCGGCAAAGCCCCCAGGATTTCAGTCAGGTTCCTGTACATCTGCTCGGCCGTCCCCTCAAAGAACTTCCCACAGCCACCGATGAACAAGGTGTCACCTGTGGGGGGGACACGCGGCATCTTATTTGGGTGAGGCCCTGCCGGCGGAGCAGGCGGGAAGCACGGATGCACTGGGGTAGCCTTCCCTGTGGCTGTACCTCTGCCGAGGGGCAAGACTCCCTCAGGCTGGCTGACAGGCACTTTTTCTGGTCTCGGGGGCAGGCACCTAGCCCTAGCTCTGCCACAGGCTTCCTCGGTGCCCTTGGGCAAGACACTTAGCCCTGTGCCTACAGGAGCAGGGAATATAATGATTCCGGGTAGGATTCTCGCTTGATGATCTGTCCCCCTCCTCGTACGTCTCACTCAGAGATCCCAGTGAGAGATTTTTCAGCTCCGTCGGGCTTCTCCAGAGGGTGCTGCCTACCTGAAAAGACTGCGGGAGCGTCAGGGGAGTTCTCTTCCCACATGAAATAGCACATGTGGCCGGAGGTGTGGCAGGGCGTGAACAGGCACCTCACGTTAATCTCCCCGAACTGCAGAGACAAAGGGACAATTGGGGCTGGTAAGACACAGAGGCCCTGCTGTTACTGGTATTCCCACGGCACCCAGGGACCCTCCGTGACACTAAACACAGCACAAACCCGGAGCAAAGTGCGCTCTGCCCCACAGAGCTTCCAATATGGACGGCTCTGCCTGCTGCTCCCGCAGCTCAGCCTGCTTCCCTGCCAGCGGAGAGCTGCTAGCAGGCGCTTTTCAGAAGTCACCGTGCTGACATCACTAGAAAGGCCCGGCTCTGCAGCCCTTTTCGAAGCTGCCCCTACCTGAGGAAAAGAGATGGATCTTCTTGTTGGGAACAAAAGGTGCATCAATAGGCACATATGCGTGACGGGGACCCCTCCCCAGGAATGGGGGGAGGCCATCAGTCTGCAAATCATGGCCCCGCCCAGTGTTCCCTGTAAGCTGTGTCCTTGTGCAGCCACTCAGGAGAGATTCAAATGCCCCCCCAATGCATCAGCAGAGCACTCGCAGCTAGGTTTGTGTTTCTACTGGTGGTGCACAGTCACACATGCCTCGGTGCACATACAAAATTATTCCACACATGGATGGAATGGATTAGAGGGAACATTGGCCCCGCCCATGCGCCATCCCTTCCCTGAGGCCCCGCCCTCTCTTTGCCCCCCCCTCCTGGCTGGTAAAAAGCCTTTTTGGCTGTTTTCAAAAGTGGTTCAGCCATGGCATGGTGGCCTCCCCCCAGGTTTGATGCCCCTGCCCCTCTCTCATCTCATCTCAATCACTAGATGACTCAAGATGGAAACGGGACGACTGAAGAAGAATTCCCAAAGCCAGACAGACGTGCGTGAGGATTTTTCCCATTCTCCAGCAGCTAATGCCAAAGACAACGTACAGGCCAGTAAGTGACGATTATGTTTTGTATTTGTTACGGCAATTTTCCTGACACGTCCCAAACAGGGCAAAGATTAGCAAATTAACCCCGGGTTCCATGTGGGGCGATGTAGATTAGGAATTGGTTGTTTCTGGCTCGTCAATCTGTGCTCACCTTCACCCTACAGTGTATAAAGCCAGCTAGGCAGTTTGCTTACTACAGGATCTATTGTGAATAGAGACCGGCTGCAGAATTTTGATGCAGATTTCAGGCACTGCTGTGACTGGCGATGTTCAGATCCAGGAGTCTGGGTCAACCCATTCTAAAAAAATGAGTCGTTTTGCAAACCTCTGAGCCGCAGTGGATTTCAAACCCAGGCCCAGCACAAAGCTTTCCAGTAAATCCAGCCCTGCTAAATGTATTACTTTAGGAAAATGCCACCATCTACTGGCTGTTCAAAATGAGAATCTGCTGCAATTTCAACCGAGCCTCCCGCCTTTTCTCCACGTACCGGGAGTCCGCTGCGGAGATCGATCTCCTGGGGGGCGATTTAGCAGGTCTAGTAAGGACCCACTAAGTCGACTGCTGATCACGCCCCCGTCGACTCCGGTACTCTACCAGCTCATGAGGAGTAAGGGAAGCAGATGGGAGAGTTGCTTTCATTGACTCCCCGCTGTAGGGATGCCAAAAAATTTGACCTAAGGTATGTCAGCTTCAGTGATGCTAGTCACGTAGCTGGAGTTGCGAACCTTTGTTCAGCTTTGATCTGGCCTTAGTGAAATGGGGCAGGGATTTCCCAGAGATTTTTGATGCTGGAGCCTAGCGCCCCGTGCCGAAATCCCACAGACTCCCAGATCAGAGAGTGAGCTAATGAATTGGCAGCGGGTCTTCGGGAGCACCTGACGAGCTGTAGCTTTTAGCTTCCTCGCCCACCCCCCACCCACAGCAGAAGGAACCAAAGCCATGAAAAATGTGTCGTGGGAACATGGGCCGAACTCTTCCCAGGGTTCCACTCCTGCAATCCCGTCCATTCAGCCCACGGCAAGCAAAGGACTTTCTCTCGCTCTCTGTTCCCAGCTCTCCCGATGACTCACGTCACGGCCCAGCTCTGACCGTCACCCCGAGCCTCGGTAAAACAGGGGTCCCAGCACCAACCCCCCTGCCAGGGCGTGGAGGTGTTATTCAATCCCTGTGCAAAGAGCTTTGAGACCTTGGGGGGGCAGGCACTGAGCAAGACAGGAGCAGCAGCCACCTGACTAATAAGCCTCCAGTCTCGTACCTTTAACTCCTCGTTGTGAGCCACCTTGTGCGTCAAGGCGCCGATCCGCTCGTCCGCCCCATACACCTGCAGCTCGGGATACGCCTTGGCCAGCTCTTCGTTCCCTCGGGCGTGGTCCCTTCGCAGACAAGGAGCGCGATTAGCCTCCCTGCCACGCCCCGGCTGACGCCCCTGAGCACGCTGAAGGGGTAACGTGGGTCTTGTACCACGGTCACCCTGGGGGTGCCATCCTGCGGGGACAGACCCAGCGCGGGGTGGGACGTGAAAAAAATACCACGGTGCAAGATTTCGGTGCCTGGTTAAAAGGCCCCCATGCCTTTGGGAACAGGCCGCGACTTCCCCGTCTGCGAGCACCTCTGGCCAACAGAACTGCTCTGCACGGGACCCGATCCTGGGCGGGGGGGGCGCACAGAGAGCAATGCAGTTCCACTGCGCAGGGTCGGGTCCCTTTGAGACATCACAGAGGGGTGGTGTCATGAGCAAGCAGGGATTTGTGCCCGGACCTTCCCCCTCGCTCCATGCACTCGGAGGAGCGCCCGGCACGCTGGGAGGGGGGAGTCGGGACTACCCCCCACCCCCTTTTTCACCGGTGATAAGTGTGAGTGGCGTGGGAACAGGGGCAGAGAGGAGCAAGTGGGGGCAGGGTCTTGGGGGGAAGAGGCAGCACGGAGGCGAGGGTTTGGAGCAATGCACCAGTGCGAGGGCTCAGGGGCCTCGGGAAATGGGTAGTGGTGTGAGGGGGCGGGACCACAATTTGGGCCCCGCCTCCCACACACCCCTTTAGGGCACGCCTGACGAGAGCACACTGAGAACCTGGGAACAGCCGCACTGGGTGTCACCAGTGGTCCAGCCAGTCCAGCAACCTGGCTGCCGACAGCGGCCAATGCCAGTCACCCCAGAGGGCAGGAACCAGGACAGGGATATTATCGAATGATCCCTCCCATCCTCCAGTCCTGGCGACTCTCAGTCAGAGGTTGAGGGACATACGGAGCATGGGACAGCGTCCCTGAGCATCTTGGTGAATAACCATCGACAGATCAATCCTTCAGAATACCCCAGCAACAAGATCCAGATGTTGCCTGGGCGCTGGGTGAAGAACTTCACTATGCATGTTTTAAACCAGCTGCCTGTTCATTTCATTGGCTAACCCCTACTTCTTCTAAAAACAGCGAGGAGTCCTGTGGCACCGCAGAGGCGACCAGATTTATTAGCTTTTGTGGGGAGAACCCACTTCATCAGATGAATGGGAGTGGCGTTTACAGAGGCAGCGGTGTGTGTATATATACGAGGAAAACAAAAGAAAGCGGGTACTTGTGTAAATGAGGCTGGTCAGGGCAGGGTGGAAGTGACTCATTCACAGCTGGCGGTGTGGAAATGTGAATATCAAAGGCAGGGAAGCTGCCTTTGTAATGCGTTATCCAGTTGAGATCCTTATTCAGTCCTAAATTGCTAGTGTTGAATTTGCAAATGAACTCCAGTTCCGCAGCCTCCCTTTGTCATCCGGCTTTTGGAAAGGGACTCCAAGTGGGGCTTGACCCACAAAAGCTGATGCCCAAATCAATCTGTTCGTCTCTAAGGCGCCACAGGTCTCCTTGTTGGCTTTGCAGATACAGACTAATGTGGTGGCCCCGCTGAGACCCTACTTCTTGTGTTAGGTGACGGGGCAAACAACCCTTCCTTATTCACCATCTCCCATCATTCATGATTGTACCAACTTCACAGCCCGCCCCCACCCCCACCCCTTGTTTGGTCCTCTCTCTTCTAAATTGAACAGCTTAGTCTTTTTTCCGTCTCTCCTCTGTTGGAAGCTGTTCCATCTCCCTTTTTAACCTATCGCACTGTGCTCTTTTCCTCTCCCCAGCGCTTACCAGTGGTGATGGGTGGTAAGAATGGCTTTCAGGGTAACGCCTTCTTTTCTGACAATTTCTAGTAACTAAAATGGAAAAATAAAAAGTCGTGTCAAAGATGTGGATTTTAAAAACGACCCCAGCTCCTCACCGGGGCCAGACGGCTTATCACTGAAGACCCGAGTGGTGATCTTGACAGTTGTGTTGCTCTCTCTGACACAAAGCTAGCCTCAGGCAGAGTTGCCCAGTGACTGCCGATCAAATGTGGCCTGTTCGCATCCTAAAGAGGCAGTGGTTCTAACTCACCCTGGGGTTAGAATAGTACTCACAAAGCCCAGCGACCGACTGTTTCCCTGCCACTCAGTATGACGTGTAAATTGCAAAATGTCATTTGTAAATCAGAACAGGGGTGTTATATTTAGTTTAATCAACTGATCGACTAGGCGATGGATTTTCCGTCGATTAGTCGATAAGTGGGGAGCCGCAGCGGGGTTAACTCGGGAGCTAACCCCGCTACAGCTTTGCCTTTTAAATGGATTAAGAGCCTGTTGGCTCTTAATCCATTTAAAAAGCAGAGGTGCGTCTGGGGCTAGGCGCGAGCTGGGAATTAGCTGATTCCTCACTACCACCTGGCTTTTCAGTTGGCTCCCCCCAGCACCGGCTCCTGCTCCCCGCCCCTTGGCAAGGAGCTTGCGCTACTAAATGACTCCCTCTAAAAGCTCCAGAGAAAGATAGGTCACGCAGCCAAAACAGCAAGCCAAGGAGGGCTCCAAATTAGTTATGCTCAAACAAACATCAGACACCCACAGCATTTACTAAACTCATCAATGAATGGACATCAAGGGTCCACAGCCCCAGAACACAACTGAGAATTTTCAGTTCCGGTGCAGTCTCGAGGCTACGATACGGCTGCAAGAACTGGAGGTCTGCTGAAAAGTCAGACAGAAAACTAGAGCCCTTAGAAAGTAAGGGCCTACAAAAGAGTCTGGGCAGTGGTTGGAGAAACAGTCACCAGCGATCTGACAAATCACAGAATCTTCGCTTCACTGCCATGATCGATCTTCCGGAGTTTGATTTAGCAGGTCTAGTTAAGACTTGCTAAATCAAATTCAGAAGGTGCCACTGCCAGAATCTGGTACTCCTGCTCCTGTGAGGAGTAAGGGAGGCTGACAGGAGCTTTCCTCCCGTCGGCCTTCTGCTGTGGGAACGGTGTCCAGCTCAGTTTCAGATAAGCCAACTCCAGTGATATATTCTACACAGCTGGAGCTGCGTACCTTAAGGCGAACTGCCAGGTCTAAAGTAGACCTGGCTATAGAATCCTAGAACTGGAAGGGACCTCGAGAGGTCATCAAGTCCAGTCTCCTGCCCTCACGGCAGCACCAAGCACCATCTAGATCATCCCTGGCAGGTGTCTGTCCAACCTGCTCTTACATAAATCCTGTGATGGAGATTCCACAACCTCCCTAGGCAACTTATTCCAGTGTTTCACCACCCTGACAGGAAGTTTTTCCTAATGTCCAACCTCAACCTCTCTTGCTGCAATCACCAACGAGCAGCTTATTTTCACCAGCCTCATTTCCTCCCACATGTCGCAGTCCAGTGGAAACAAACTGGCGGAAGGAAACAAGGACGTCCAAGAGAAACCGTTAGAACCCCGCTAGCAGGGCGGGCACAGCCATCTCTCTCCACATTGTCCGGCAAATAGAGGCAGCAGCAAATGACAGAGAGAAAGGGAAAAGACTAGTTTGCACGCTGTGTGCTCCCCCTGGGTGCACTAACGTCCTAATCATGCCCAGTGCTTTGGGGGGGGGGAGGTTTAAAATCAACATGAAATATATTTTTCGTACCAAATTCTTAAGGCTGCTTCTGATTAGGCCTTAAGTTAATTAATTGTTCGAATCAGCAAAGCAACGATCCCTAACAAACATGGCAGATTTCCCTTGGTACTGATGGGTGGGCAATCATTTTTGACTGGGAGCAGTTCACAAATTTTTGAATTGACCTCAGGCCACCCAGGAAGGGAGTGTCTTCCTGCTTTTCCGTTGGGGGCCACAGTGAGGGGGTTTTTTCCGCTTCTCACTTGTGTGCAGCCCCTGACCCAAAAAACCTTCCCCGCCCCTGCTGTAGGGGAACATTTTAATCTGTCTGGACCCTCAATCGTGGATTTAAAAGTCGTCCGTCTGCTAGAAAGGAATTTCACCAGCCAATTACAGAGAGTGCAGCATTGACCTTCATGTGCAAATCTGACACCATGTCCCTGGGCTTGAACAAAGGCATTAATGGGATGTCGCATTACAAAGCCAGGCTCCCCTGCCTCCAACAGATGCATTTTTACATCAAAAGCTAAGACCAGGACAGGTCCAGCCCACTTAATTAGCCTCGGTCCTACAATTGGCAGGTACCTTTTTTTTTCCTGTTATAAATAACTTGGCTGCCATTATTTCCACTCCATCTGAGGAAGTGGGTTGTGCCCACAAAAGCCCATGATACTCCGTATATTTGTGTTAGTCTCTGAGGTGCCACAGGAGTACTTGTAGCTCTTATTTTATGTCATTGTGTGTTGCTAGTGGAAGCCACATTTAACCCAATGCTAACCAGTCTCACTAACCAGTTAGGCTACGTCTAGACTGGCATGATTTTCCGCAAATGCTTTTAACGGAAAAGTTTTCCGTTAAAAGCATTTGCGGAAAATCATGCCAGTCTAGACGTAGCCTAACTGGTTAGTGAGACTGGTTAGCATTGGGTTAAATGTGGCTTCCACTAGCAACACACAATGACATAAAATAAGAGCTACAAGTACTCCTGTGGCACCTCAGAGACTAACACAAATATACGGAGTATCATGGGCTTTTGAGTGTAGACAGCTGGCAAGTTTTTCCGCAAAAGCACCTGCTTTTGCGGAAAAACTTGCCAGTCTAGACACAGCCTTAGTGTCTACAAACAAGTCAGCCTGATCTGAATGGCCAGAGCCCCGACCCTGCCTCTTTTAACTTTCAGGCTTGAAGTAGCCATATTCCTAGTTACCCTCTTGGGAACGGTCGCGTCCACCACGACAGCTTCCTTCGTATTTTCCTCGATGACCAAGTACATGTAGTTGTCTTCCAAGACTGAAATAACCTTGACCTTCATGGCCGCCGGGTTGCGCAGCTCCACATGTGAACTGGAAGGGAAATGCAATTATTTTCAAACCACGCCATGCAGTTAAAAAAAAAAAGCCCGATCCAGCAGCTGCTGTATCAGAACATAAGAACAGCCAGACGGGGGCAGAACAAAGGTCTAGCTGACAGTGGCCAATGCCGGGTGCCCAGAGCAGGGAATCAAGTGATTTCTCTCCTGTCACCCATTCCCAGCCTCTGACAAACAGAGGCCGGAGCACCATCCCTGCCCATGGTGGCTAATAGCCATCACTGGATCTATCCTCCATGAATTTATCTAGCTCTTGCTGAACCCTGTTCAAGTCCTGATCTTCACAACCAGGGATGTTAACTATCTGTTAACTGACTAGTCGATTAACCTCATGAACTCTTATCGGTCACGTGACTATTCTGTAGTCCCCAGTGGTGGGGCCTCTGGATCAGAGGCAGCAGCATGGGGTGCCAGGCAGGAGCTGCTCTGAGACGGGAGCCCGTTGAAAAACCGACTCCCCTCATGGACCAGCTGCCTGTCACCCTATGCTGCTGCCCTCTGATACAGAGGCAGCAGCTCAGGGCGGCAGCAGCCCCTGTTGGGTGCAAGCTGGACTTGAGCTGGGCTGCCTGCCCACATGGCTCCTAAGGCATTTTAAATGCCCAGCTGCAGAGGGGGTAGGTCCCGAACCCGGCGCAAGCTGGGACTAAGCCATGCTGCTGGCCAGCCTGCTAAAAAATGTACTGGTGGTGGTGCGGGGGAGAGGAATGCTTGTAGTCTATAGCATCAACCTGTAAGCTTCTGCTTATTGGTTAATCGACTACACAATTACATCCCTATACACAACATCCTCTGGCAAGGAGTTCCACAGGTTGACTCTGTGCTGTGTGAAGAAAAACTTCCTTTGGTTTGTTTTAAGCCTGCTGCCTATTCATTTCAGGTGGTGACCCCTAGTTCTAGAAAAAGGCCCTGGGGTGGAAGCAGTGTCAGAACGGCCCAACGGCCCAGGAGTCCTGCAGCTCTTTGCACACACTCCACCTCTGGCAAACAGACTCAGGCCAGTCACTTAATGGGCAGGGGGCAACTCCAGTATGAAAACCGGCCTTTTGCTCCTCTCCCCTCTTGGTCTGCAACACCCTCTGGCCTAGACAGGAGGACAGTGGCCACACGGTAGCAACCCGAGCCCAGCCTCCACTGAGTTCGCCGCCGGTGCAAGCCAGGGAAAATCACCAGTTTATCAAGTGGGCTTTTTGGCCACTGGGAACCTCCAACTGGCTGGGCACATAGTCCTCAGGGCTCAGAAACCGTGTTGGGGGCCAGGCGCTTTGGAACCGGCCTGGAGATCGTGTCATTTGCTTATGATCCTCATGGCAGGTTTTAATTATTCCCTCTGGGGTTGGGGCCAGGACAATGTTGGGGGCCAGGCGCTTTGGAACCGGCCTGGAGATCGTGTCATTTGCTTATGATCCTCATGGCAGGTTTTAATTATTCCCTCTGGGGTTGGGGCCTTGACAACCCCCTGGCTGAGACGTGGGGCCTGCCAACGACTAATTCCCT